AATGGCACTGCCAGTGCTCTCAGCAACAACCCAAAGATATGCACCTGCTACTCAGCCCTTTGTTCTCACCATAGGATCCAGTTATTCCCCACCCCCACTGCTACCTCCCCAAATCACCTCCAAGTCAACTTCTGGCATTCGGACTATTAACTCCAGAGGCTGCATAAGGAGGCCTGGGCTAACACAAGCTCAAAGAGGGCTTGACTGGGGAGTAGAGGGAAGATTAGCACTCAAGAATACCAATGGGGACATGGCAGGTCAAGTTACACTCCCAACAGCCTAAGAGTGTTTACTTCCCAATCATTTCTCAAAGGCGGTCGGTCCCAAGCTAAAGTTCTCTCAGGCAAGGACTGGCCTTAATCTCATTCTGCCTCCCTACTATACGCCTCCTCTTTCTTCCTTTCTCCATCCTCTGTCCCTAGCCAAGCAATCACTGAGCTCTGAGGACAGAGGCTGAGGTGAGGGCATGGTTACTTGTCATTGTCAGCTTGCCTAGATTTGAAGTCACCTAGGAGACGCACTTCCAGATGTGTCTACGTGGGGATTTTCACAGAGGTTTAGCTACCGATGAAAGATTGACCCTCAGCATTGGCGTCCAGGACTGGAAACAAAAGGCAAAAGGAGAGACCACGCCGGACACCATTCTCCCTCTCTGTTTCTGGCAGCAGCAGATGCAGTGTGACCAGCTGCCTCTAGCGCCTGTGGACATGTTTTTCCTGCGACGATGGGCTGCTGTAATGCGCATCAAAACAAACCCTTCCTTCCTCCTTATACTTCTTTGGTCATGGTTTCGTCATAACTATGAGAAAAGTAACCGACACGGGCAGGAACATTACATGTGTCATAGCTGTTATCTCCAGTACCTACAGTCTTATCCGATATACAGTGAGAGCCTGATCAATATTTGCTGAATGAGTAAATCCTATCAGTGGAAAAAAAACAGAGGCCAAGAGAGTAAATGCCCAACATCAAGTTATGACCAAGGTCGGCTGAGAACTGGGAATAGGAGGCAGTCTTCTGCTCCTAGGAGGCCTTGACTACACCCGTAGTAATCATAAACCAAGGATTCTTCTGGTTTCCTTGGTTTCTCGTGGTGATTGATGGGACAACTCCACCAAGGTTTCTGTGAAGCTGTCACCCCCTAGGATAGTTGCCAGGAAGGACAGGGACCCAATGAAGGAATATAGGCTGCAGATCCACGCAGGCAGGCTTGGGTCCTGACTCTGACCTCACTATGGGCCAGGGACAAACATAAGTCATGTGGGCTTCTGGAGCAAATAGATCATCTCTCATTCAGAGGGGACAGAGAGGACAGCAGGGGCTTGAGAGGGGACAAGCACCATCCACCCTTTCACTTCAGAAGATATTCTTTGTCACACCAGCCTATTCCTGGAAATAAAGCCTGGAATATCCTTCAGATGTTCTAGAAACAACCTGAGAAGCAAAGAGAATTAAAATTTTTTTTTGGTTTTTAGAGACAGGGTTTCTCTGTATTGTTTTGGAGGCTGTCGGTCCAGCCTCGAACTCGCAGAGATCCATCTGCCTCTGCCTCCCAAGTTCTGGGATTAAAGGCGTGTGCCACCACCGCCCGGCTGAGAATTAATTTTAATTGTTATTAAAAATCATTCCACACAAATACAGTTCAAACTGGACACATCGACATTTTTCGTAAAATATAAATTAATAGGAACTCAAATCATCCTGATCAAAATTTAGAACCAAATTCATTACAGAACAACTAGATCTGTAATTTGTAAATTTTAAGAAGAGCCAGGAAAGCTGAAAAACAATACAAATCTCTAATCTAAACTCTACCTGGAAAAGAACTAATATGATTTTCCCCTGAAAGGAAATCCAGACCTGCTTAAGCAAGTTCTAAATAGAGTGACCAGTCCTTTAAGTTAGCTTTATGGAAATGTCTCTCTGGACAGATTGTATAAGCCTAATCTTTAAAAATAACATAATCATAAAACTTCTCTCAGGGTGACCAAAATGAAGGTTCTAGGTGTGTGCAGGGTGCAAGGAGAGAGAATCCTTCTCCAGCGTCTGTCTGGCCCGGGGCCAGCTACGGCCAAAAACACATTTTGTTTTTCACAGGTGTTTGCCTCAGCAGGGCCTGGACCTGCCAGAGATGATAATGTCAGGGATTTGGAATGAAGATGAGATGCTAACGTGGTCCCCTATGCCATAGAAAAGTTGTGGGGAAGAGAGGCAGCGGGTCATCAGAGTAACACACACCTGCAGGGGTGTCTGATCCGGCAAGAGTGAGTCCCACAGCATTGGGCAAAAGGAACATTCCAGACAGAGGGAGCAGCTGGACCACAGGCCTGAGTACAAGGAAGGGAAGAGAGAGAGAGCCCAGACGCTGCACAGAGAGGAGACCGTGGCAGGCTAGGAGAGAGAGAAGGCTGAGAACAGAGGGCCAGGAGCAAGGAGCATCCCAGGCCATGAGCACCGCAGAGCTTAACAGAGACCAAGGGAAGGATGTACGTGGAAAGAAGGAGGTCATAGTAGCTGAATAAAGACAAGACTCTGACAGGAAACTGAGGCGGTGGTGTGAAGATGATGCAGGGACAGGAGAACTCCAGGTGTTAATGTTGGTGGGAGAGGGGAGGGGGATGTTCAGCAGGAATCAAGATGAAGATGGGGTTAGAGAGAAACTTCAAGAGCGTTAAGATCATTTTTGTCGGCACCAGTCACCTTCAAAGAGAGAGCACAAGGGCAGGGTGCTTCAAACGCTGGCCGTTCAGAAGGGTGAAGAAGAAAGCTGTCTGTTCCCCTCCCCCCTCCCCTCTCCCCCCCCCCGCCCTGCAAACTGGAAGGTTCCAACCCCCAAGTTTGAGCCTTGGCTCAACTGTAGCTCGAGATCAGTGCTTCCTGACCCGGGAACACAGCCATGGAGGCTCTAGAACCTAGCTCATGGATTCTGGGGCCCTGCTCTCCCTACGGCCAGCAGGCCAAGCTAATGAGGACTTTGTGTCCTTGGCTCCTGCCCAGCTGTTCTTCTTTTGGCCGATGTTTTGAGACACACATGAGCCACATCCCTGATCCTCCTAGATCCAAGCCTCTGACTGAGTCCCAGGCCTTTGGACCTCGCTCCCTTCTGGGAGAGGTGAATGCCCTGGTGGTAGCGTTCTTGGCTGTAAGAGGGATCTGCCCCTATTGGTACCACCCCCCCCCAGCAAGTTCTTAACATGCAATGACTCCTCGGGGGCCATCTAGCTTGATTGTGAATGAGTGAGAAAGAAGAGTGAAAAATCACCAGATTTGCCATTGAGCACTGAGACCCAGATTGAGTCACTGCTCGGCCATCCTACATCTATCTATGGGGTCTTTGCAAAGGTCACTTGAGGGGCTTGTGATGTCGCTCAATGGGTAGAGTGCTTACTTGAGCATGCATGAAGCCCTAAATTAGGTTTCTATCACCACATAAGCTGGGCGTGGTGGCACATGACTACAGTCCTGGCACTCAGGAAGTAGAGACAAGAGGATCATGAGTCCCAGGTCATCCTTGACTACCACGCAATTTCAGTGGTGACTGGAAGACACACAGGAGGTGCTGACTCAAAATAAAAGGGAAAGAAACGAGTAAGGTTAAAAGGAAAGAAAACAGAAAAGTCCACTTGGCTTCTCGGAACCACAGACACAAGGTCATCATCTGACTTTACAGAAGGCAAGGATGGGCTTGAGAGGGGCGGCCAAGCCAATGCATACTGTGTCCTGAAGAGTCCTTTGGGAGGATCCACTGGACTCTGATTTGTCCCACAGTCAGTCTGTCATGAATAACAGTATCTCCATTTACTGTCACCAGCTGCCACCCTTCCAATGCTCGCGAAACGGCAGAGCCAGGGGAGACTGGTTAAAGGGACACAACCTCCGCAAACACTTGGCTCTGTGTCCTGCCAAATCCTCACTCAGCTCCTGTTTACTCTTCATTTAGCTCCGATCTCAACCCACAATTTTTCCTGTTCCCCAGCCCATTGCACTTGAGAAGGAACCAATTGGATAGGGGCAGGGGAAGCCGAAAGAGCAGCTCACAGAAGAGGGCAAGACACAGACCCAATAGTGAGCAGGCATGAAGGGTCACAATCATGAGTTTGGGGCATAAGGAACCACCCACGGAGGAAAGTCAAGGCAAAGTTCAGAGCAGGAACTGAGTTCCTGATATGCTCTCCAGGCTTGTGTTCATCTACCCCCCTTTTTTTTGCCTTTTCAAGTTTTTATATTTTATTTTTCTTAAACCTCCCAGGACCACCCACCCAGGGTGACTCCACCCGCAGTGGGCTGGACCCTCTCGCATCAATCATCATCAAAACATGTCCCCATGTCTTGCCTATGAGCCAGCGTGAGAAGCATTTTCTCAACTGAGGTTGCCTCTTCCTTAATGACTCTAGTCTGTGTCCGACTGACACAACACTAACCAGCAAGGCAGTTTATTATATGCATCGGTGATGTTGAAGACAGGATGAAAATCTGCTGGGGCATGTTCATCTCAAAAGTTTCTTCGGGGAAATAATCAGAAATGTGCTCTACGGAGCAAGGATAATTCTCTGTGTATAACAGTGATCCCGGCAAGCAGACCTTACTGGTTCATTATACAGCTATTTAAAGGTAGGAAGTATGTCGAGTGACAGGGGTGATGACCACAGTACACACAGAAGAGTGGAGTCACTGCGGGCCTATGTGCATATAAACTTTAGGTAAGTATGTTTATATGCACATGAATCATACACAGAGAAAATGCGTGCCCAAAAGAGAAAACCAAAGGAACTGTTAAAGAATTATGATGTTTAAAATGATTATCTGTGGGTTAAAGGGTTATAGGTAGCTTTTTCAAGTCTTCCCTCCTTTTTGTTTATCTAAATTTCCTGTGTGAAATTTCTGTTACTTTTAACAGCCCATCCCCATGTTCCTGTTGGTGAATTAATGATAAAAGTGGTTTCCCACACTCAGTCTCTGGCTGTGAACACTCCTAAGGTCACCTTCTTGCCCCTTTGTAGTTCCTCGATATCCTGTGGAAGATACCCAGTGGAAGGGTCTGGCATCATTTTCACAAGCTGAGACCAGACACGGTTGGTGAGTGATTAGCCAGCTCTGGGCAGGAACCATGCCTTGAGGAGGAATAGGAGACTCTCAAAGTAATTCCCAGAAAGGGAGGAAAGTCAATTAGAAAACTTAACACCTAGACATCACCCCTCCAGCAAGTAACCTAAGAGGCCAGCTCCAAGCTCTGGTGGTCCAGGAACGGGCTAAGCTGATGGGAAGAGGCCAGCTTTCAACTTGATCTCTGTCTTTTACCACTGTCACTAGTCAACACACACACACACACACACACACACACACACACACACACACACACACACACAGTCCTTGTCGCCACAGAGTATAATTTTCATCTCCAAAAAGCACACTGTCTCTCTAGGAATCTTCCAGATAAATATTGTGTCAAATGTCAGAAATGAGTAGAACGTTCTAGTATCATTTTACTCGCTTGCTTTAATCAAGGTGTCCAAGGTCTCGCAGCAGTTGACTCAGGAGCCCAAGATTAGAACTCAGATGGCCGTACTCTGAAGTCGGGGTGATTCTTTCCTTCACACACTCAACTTCCTCACATTAACTAGATGAGCTTACAATGTGGGGACCCCGCCCCCACCCACCCAGGTTCAAACTCCATTTGGGGCACTGAAAACCCCCATGGCTTTCCGTTCCATCAGGAAAGTAAGGGAAGACAACAAGAGCACAGGCTGGAGTAAAACCTGAGTTAAACATTTAGGACAGTCCTTGGAACACCCTGAAAGGGTCTCTATTTTATGGATCAGTTTTCTCAGCCAACAGAATTTCCTGTGGGAAGTTGGAGGAGGAGGGAAAGCCAAGCCTCACACCACTCAAAAAAGTCAATTCCATGATCGATATAGAAGTAAATGAGAATGATGAACGATGAACCTTCTAGAAGGCGACAGAAGATCTCTTTGGCCTTGAGGTAGGCATATAAAATGGATATAAAAATGGGAGTATAAAAAGCAATAATCATAAGACAAAAGACTGATTCGTTGTAGATCATTAACATGAAGGATTCCTCAAGGCTGGAGATGCACCTCAGGTAGAAAAATGCCTGCCCAGCATTCATACACTGGGCCGGAAGGTGCACACCTATAATCCCAGAACTCAAGAAGTAGAGGCAAGAGGATCAGAAGTTCAAGTTCGTCCTCAGTTACAACTTACATTTGGGGCCACATGAGACAATTAGAGTAATATGTGAAGACATCCAGCATTGACCTCTGACCTCTACACACATGCATGAACACTGCACACAGTGGCAAATACAAATATAAACTTTTTTTCAATGAATGTAGAAAGTGACATTATCTGTCCATGCGGGATAATTGTTTTAATACATTTTTTTCAAAGTTGTTGCTTAACATTAGATTACTAAACAGTAGATTTCCATAATGCTTGTTTATTAGGCCTTAAGTTTTCTTTTTTTAAAGGATGCATTTTTAAAGATTTATTATTTATTCATTTTGTATACAGTGTTCTGCCTGCATGTATGCCTGCCTGGCAGAAGAGAACACACAATCTCATTACAGATGGTTGTGAACCACCATGTGGTTGCTGGGAATTGAACTCAGAACCTCTGGAAGAGCAGCCAGGGCTCTTAACCTCTGAGCCAGCCCAGGCCTTAGTTTTCCATAATCCACCACTACCCACTCTTCTTCCTCATGCTCCTCCCTGAGCAGGTCTACAGTCTCTGTTCTCCCTAGAGGGGGAAAAGCTCAAACCAACACTGCCCATCTTGAGTGACTCTCCTACTCCTAAGCCCTGCACTCTCCAAGCATGCAACACAAGGAGCAAGGATACTGGGAAGGACCTCAGAGTGTGGAAGACTTTTGTCTGTCTCCCTGATGTCAGGAGAGAAAGAAAGAACATTGAGGGTGAGAATATTGTCCTCCACACTTTTCTTCCTGCCATTGGTCATAATGGACCATTCAAGTCACTCTCTCAATGAAGACCCCATAACTGGGAAGAACATAACATGGATAGGACACAAAACACAGGTTGAGACACTTTGGCAGCCTTGGACAACTACCCAGATTCTAGAACCAGAACTCATGAAAGTGAAAGGGTTGTAAAAAACAACCAGAGATGTTCTAGAATGATCCACCCACCCCTAAGACCTGCCTGACCCCATACACACACACCAGGCAATAGACAGAGACTGAAGGACCCAGGGTGTTTCAAGGCAGACCCACTAAGGAAAGAGGGATACAGTTGTCTTAGGATGGCTTTCTTCTTTCTGGGCATGGATGATTTGTCAACTAACAGCCTTGACTAGCAAGCCACCTTCAATCTCCTCATGACCTTGAATGTGTGGTGCTCTGAAATTAGACAAAACCTAATGTGGTTTGTCAAAACAAGGAGCCAGATGAGGAAGACCACTTGAGAGTGGTAGGTGTGCCGTGGAAATCTTTCTGTCGTTTGAGATACAATCGGTAACTGGGATAGGGGAGAAAGATAAGGACACAGCAGAGATCCTAGGACCAAGAAGCCCCAAGTGTTCCAGCCTCTGGGTGCCTGACCCTCCCTTCCTAAGATGTGCTCCCCAGGGTGGTGAAAAAGACTCAGATTATCGCTTGGGTCTGAGCTAATAGGAGGTTTTTCTCAGAGCCAGGGTGGAAGAACAGTTGGAGAATGAGGTGGTAAGTTCAACTCCTTGTAGCACAAATTCTAACTGTTCTTAATAATAAAAACTCAGTCAGATATTGGAGTTAATGTTGGAGATAATTCAACTCCTTGAGGCAGGAATTCTAATTGTTCTTAATAATAAAAACTCACAGTCAGATATTGGAGTTGATGTTGGAGATCAGGCAAGCAAAGTGGTTAGTTACCACTGACTTAACAGCTAATATCCACTTGTAAGTGAAAACATACCATATTTGTCTTTCTGTGTCTAGATTATCTCACTCAAAATTATTCTTTTTCCAGTTCCAGTCGTTTACATGGGAATTTTATGACTTCAATTTTTAATGACTGAGTAATATTATAGTGTGAAAGCATACCACATTTTCTTTATTCATCTGTTGAGGGACACATAGCTGGTCTCCAATTTCTAGATATTATAAACAACGAATATGGTTGAGCAAGTGTCTCTGTGGCAGGGTGAAGAGTTCTTTGTATATATGTGTAACAGTGCTACAGCTGGATCTTGGAGTGATTCCTTATCTTCCTGAAGAACTACCACACCGATTTCCACAGTGGCTGTACGAGTTTTCAATCCCACTAGCAATGGATGAGTGTTCCTTGCTCCACATCCTCACCAGCATGAGTTGGTATTTGTTGTACTGATCTTAGCCACTCTGACGGGTGTAAGACGGAATCTCAAAGTAGTTTGTTTAGCATTTCTCTGTTGACTAAGGATGTTGAACATTTATTTTTATATAATTTATTTATTCTTTTAAATTTCATTTTACATTCCAACCACAGTTCTCCCTCCCACCCACCCCCGCCCCCTCATCACCTTCCCTCAGCCCATCCCCAGTCTCCTCCTCCTCACAGCGTTTATACAATGGAGTACTTACTCAGCTGTAAAAAATGATGACATCATGAACTTCTCAGGTAATGGATGGAACTAGAAAAAAACCATCCTGAGTGAGGTAACCCAAACTCAGAATGACTCCAGGGGATGGAACCAGGCCCTCCATATGATGGACATTTCTTTAAGTGTTTCTCAGCCATTTGAGTTTCTTTTTTTGAGAATTCTGTTTAGATCTGGACCCCATTATTGTTATTTGTTTTATTTTCATCTAGTGGTGGGGTGGTTTTTTTTCCAGTTTTTATATATTTTGGATATTGGCCCTGTATCAGATATGTAGTTGGATAAATCTTTTCCCATTCTGTTGGCTGCTGCTTTGTCTGAATGATGGTGGCCTTTGTCGTGCAGAAACTGTTCAGTTTCATGAGGCCCCATTTATTAATTGTTGATGTTAGTGCCTGTGCTATCAGTGTTCTGCTCAGGGAGTTATCCCCTGTGCCAATGAGTCCAAAGCTATCCTTACTGTCTCTACTGTCAGGTTTGGTGTATCTGTTTTGATGATGATGTCTTTGTAGTATACTCCTTTTGGGTGTGATTTCTCCTTTTTGTTCTAGAGTTATCAGGTTAAGTGCTATTAAGTTACTAGTATGAGATCACTTCACCTTTTTATGCAGGCACTTAGCACTATGCATTTGCATCTTAGAATCACTTTCATTGTGTTCCATTAAGTTTGGGTATATTGTGTTTTCATTTTCATTCAGTTTTTCAAAGTATTTAATTTCTTTCTTAATTTCAGTTCAGTAGTGATTTACTCAGTTTCTGTATGTAAAATGTCTGTCGTTACTGTTATTGATGATATGCATTTTCAATCCATAGTAGTTAGATAGGATTTGGGTGTTACTTCAGTTTTATTGCATCTGTTGACAATCGTTTTGTGTCTAGGTATGTGGTCAGTTTTGGAGACCATTCGATGAGATGCTGGGAAAAACGTATGTATATTCTTTTGTGCTTGGGTAAAAAGTTCTGCAAATATTTGTTAGGTTCATCTTATTTATGGTGTCAGTTAGCGCCAGCCTCTCTTTGTTTAGCTTTTCTCTGGGTAACATGTCTATTGGCAAAGTGAGGTATTGAAGTCTTCTACTATTAGTATGTAACAGTCAGTATGTGATTTCAGCTGTAAGTAATGTTTCTTTTATGAACTTGGGCACCCTTATGTTTGGTGCATACATGTTAATTATTTCAATGTCCTCTTGGTGGACTTTTCCTGTGTGGGTATGTGGTATCCTTCCCCATTGCTTCTGATTAGTTTTGGTTTGAAATTGATTTTCTCAGATATTAAAATAGCTACTCCAGTCTGCTTCTTAGACCCATTTGTTTGAATATCTTTTCCTATCCTTTAACCTGAGGTGATGTTTATCCTTGATGTTAAGGTGTGTTTCTTGGGTTCAGCAGAAGGATGGATCCTGTGTTTACATCCATTCTGCTAGTCTATGGGACCATTGGTGTCAAAAGTTACCAATAAGCAATGTTTGTTGACTCCTGTTACCTTAGTGGAGTGGAATGGAGTGGTGTGGTGTGGTGTGATGTGGTGTGGTGTGGTGTGGTGTGGTATAGGGGTGGTGATGGTGATGACAGTAGTGGTGGAGTGTGTGTGTGTGTGTGTGTGTGTGTGTGTGTGTGTGTTCTATCTAGATTTGCTGGTCTGGGTTTATTTTGGGGTGTTGGAGTTTTCCTTCTCACACCTTCGGTGGGGCTGAATTTGTAGATAGATATTGCTTAAATTTGGTTTTATCATGGAATTTTTATTTTCTCTATTGTCATTGAATTTTTTCTGGGTATGGTAGTCTGGACTGGCATCTGTGGCCTCTTAAAGTCTAGCTTTTAGAGTCTCCATTCAGGAGCCATGTGTTATTCTAACAGTTCTGCCTTTGCATGTTGCTTGGTCTTTTTCTCTTGCAGCTTTTAATATTCTTTATTTGTTCTGTAATATAGTGCTTTGGTTATTATGTGTCAAAGGTAATTCCTTTTCTGGTCCAATCTATCTGCTGTTCGCTATGCTTCTTGCAGCTTGGTAGGCTTCTCCTTTAAGTTAGGGAAATTTTCTTCTATGATTTTGTTGAAAACATTTTTCTGTGCCTTTCACCTGGATTTCTTCTCCTTCCTCTATTTCTGTTATCCTTAGATTTTGTCTTTTCATAATGTCCCAGATTTCCTTGATGTTTTGTTCCAGATTTTTTTTAGATTTGGCATTTTCTTTGACCAAGATATTCATTTCTTCTGTCCTGTCTTCAATGGCTGAGATTCTTTCTTCCATTTCTTATATTTCGTGGGTGAGGCTTGCCTCTGAGGCTCTTGTTTGATTTCCTAATTTGCTTTTTTTTTAACTTCCAGGCTTCCCTCTGTCTAGGTTTTCTTTATTGAATCTATTTCTACTTTCAGGTTTTCAACTGTCTTTTCTCATTTCCTCCCAGTTTTTGTTTTCATAGATTTATTTAAGGGATTTATTCATTTTCTATTTAATGACCTCTATCATATTCATAAAGGCTATTTTTACCCATCATTTTACATCCCAGATACAGCCTTCCCAGTCTTTCCCCCACTCTACTCACTGTTCCTAACCCCCAATTCCCAAATCTCCACCCCTTCTGTCTCCATCCAGAAAAGGACAGGTCTCCCATGAGTATCGATAAAACATGTCATATCAAGTTGCAGTAAGACTAAGCACCTCCCCATGTATTAAGTAAAGCTGGGCAAGTATGAGGAGAACGATCCCAAAAGCCTGTAAAAGAATCAGAAACAGCCCTTGCTCCCACTGTTAGGAGTCCTACAAGCAGACCAAGCTACACAACTGTAACATATATGCAGAGTGTCTAGGTCAGTCCCATGCACACTCCATGCTTGTCTGTTCAGTCTCTGGGAGCTCCTGTGAGCCCAGGTTAGTTGACTGTGTGAACTTTCCTGTGGTGTCCTTGACACCTCTGGCTCCTACACTCCTTCCTCCTCCTCAACAGGATTCCCAAGCTCCACCTAGTAGGTTTGGCTGTGGGTCGGTGTCTCCCTCCACCAATTGTTGGATGTCACCTTTCTGATGACAGCTGGGGAAGGCACCAATCTGGTCACAGGAGATGGCCAGTTCAGGCTATTTATCTGCTATTGCTAAGAGTCTAAGCTGGGGTACTCCCTGTAGATTCCTGGGAGATTTCTCTGAACCAGACTCCCACCTAACCCCAAAACACCAACCAGCAGTCCTCATCAGCATCCTCCCTCTCCATCCCCCTGATCACTCTAATTCTCATTCCCACCTACCCTCAGTCCACTCACAAAATCTCTCCTGTTTCCCCTTCCCAGGGAGATCTGGATTCCCAACCCCCATGAACTGTCCTTGTTATCCAGTCTCTCTGGGTCTGTGGATTATAGCATGGTTAGCCTTTATAGCTAACATCTACTTATGAGTGACTACATACCACATTTGTCATTCTGAGTCTGTATTACCTCACTCAGGATGTTTTTCTATTTATATCCATTTGCCTTCAATATTTTCTGGTGTCCTTGGCTTCCACAGCTGAGTAATACTCCATTGTGTAAATGTGCCACATTTTCTTTATTCCTTCCTCAGTTGAGGGGCATCTAGGTTGTTTCCAGGTTCTGGCTTTTACAGATAAAGCTGCTATTAACACAGTTGAGCAAGTGCCCTTGTGCTATGATTGAGCATCTTTTAGGCATATTTCCAAGAGTTGTATAGCTGGGTCTTGTGGTAGGTTGATTCCTAGTTTTCAGAGAAACCACCACACTGACTTCCAAAGCAGCTGTACAAGTTTACACTCCCACCAGCAATGGAGGAGTGTCCCCTTGCTCCATATCCTCTCCAGCATGAGCTGTGGCTTGTGCTTTTGATCTTGGCCATTCTGGCAGGTGTATGGTAGAATCTCAGAGTTGTTTTGAGTTGCATTTCCCTGATGGCTAAGGATGTTGAGCTTCTGAGTGTTTCTCCGCCATTTGAAATTCTTCTGTTGAGGATTTTTTATTTAGATCTATATCCCATTTTCCCATTTTTAATTGGATTATTTGGTTTGTTGATATCAGTTTCTTGGGTTCTTTTTATATTTTAGAAATCAGGCCTCTGTCCACTGTGGGGTTGGTGAAGCTCTTTTCCCATTCTGTGAGCTGCTGTTTTGTCCTGTTGACTGTGTCCTTTGCCTTACAGAAACTTCCCAGTTTCATGAGGTCCCATTTATTAATTGTTGATCTCAGTGCCTGTGCTTTTGGTGTCAGTTCAAGAAGTTGTCTCCTGTGCCAATGTGTTCAAGATTATTTCCCACTTTCTCTTCTGTCAGGTTCAGTGTATCTAGATTTATGTTGAGATCTTTGATTCATTTTGACTTGAGTTTTTTACAGGGTGATAAATATGGATCAATTTGCATTCTTCTACACGCCAATATCCAGTTAGGCCAGCACCATTTGTTGAAGATGCTATATTTCTTCCATTGTATTATTTTGGCTTTCTTGTTGAAAATCAGGTGTCCATAGGTGTATGGATTTTACCTGTCTATTTTCATTCAAAAACCATGCTGTTTTTATTACTATAGCTCTATAATAGAGCTTGAAATTGGGGGTGGTGATACCTATAGAAGTTCTTTTATGGATGTTTTTTGGTGTTTTTCCATAAGAAGTTGAGTATTGGTCTTTCAAGGTCAACACAAAGAATTCCGTTGGGATTTTAATGGGTTTGTGTTGAATCTGTAGATTGCTTTTGGTAAGGTGGCCCTTTTTACTATGTTAATCCTACTGATCCATGAGCATGGGAGGTCTTTCCATCTTCTGATATCTTCTTCAATTTCTTTTTTTCCAAAGACTTGAAGTTCTTGTCATACAAGTCTTTCACTTGTTTGGTTAGAGTTATCCCAAGATATTTTATATTATTTGAGGCTATTGTAAAGGGGCTTGATTCTCTGATTTCTTTCTCGGTTCTTTTTTTGCTTGTATATAGAAGGGATACAGTTTTGTTTTCTTTTGTTTTGTTTTGTTTTTTAAGTTAATTTTGTATCCAGCCACTTTACTAAAGCCATTTATCAGCTGTAGGAGTTCCCTGATAGAGGTTTTGGGGTCACTTATGTATACTATCATATCATCTGTGAATAATGATACTTTGACTTCCCCCCTTCCAATTTGTATTCCCTTGATTTCTTTTAGTTGTCATATTGTTCTTGCTAAAACTTCAAGTATATATTCAATAGATATAGAGTGGACAGCCTTGTCTTGTCCCTGATTTTAGTGGAATTTGAGTTTCTCTCCATTTCATTTAATGTTGGCAATTGGCTTGCTGTGTATTTTTTATTATGTTAAGATATGACCTTTGTATGCCTGATCTCTCCAAGTATTTTATCACGAATGCTTGTTGGATTTTGTCAAAGGTTTTTTTTTCTTTCAGTTTGTGTATATGTTGAGTTACACTGACATATTTTCATATGTTAAACCATCCCTACATCTCTGGGATAAGGCCTAGTTGGTCATGATAGATGATCTTTTTAATGTATTCCTGGATTCAGTTTGTCAGTACTTTATTGAGTATTTTTGCATCTATGTTCATGAATGAAATTGGTCTATAATTCTCTTTCTTTGTTGAATCTGTGTGTGGTTTGGGTATCTGGGTGACTGTGGCCTCACAGAAAGAATTTGGCAGTGTTCCTACTGTTTGTGTTGTGGAATAATTTGAAGGGTATTGGTATTAGCTCTTTTTTGAAAGTCTGGTAGAATTCTGCACTAAAACTGTCTAGTCCTGAACTTTTTTTTTCCCTTGGGAGACTTTTAATGACTGCTTCTATTTCCTTAGGGGTTATCTGTCTATTTAAATTGTTTATCTGATCTTGATTTAACTTAGGTAGGTGGTATCTATCAAGAAATTTGTCCATTTATTTTAGATTTTCCAATTTTGTGACATACAGGTTTTTGAAGTATGGCCTAATGATTCTCTGTATTTCCTCAGAGTCTGTGGTTGAGTCCCCTTTTCTTTTCTGATTTTGTTGATTTGCATAGTCTCTCTGTCTTTTAGTTAGTTTGGATAAGGGTTTTAAAACATGGAATGCTTAACAAATTTGCATGTCATCCTTGCCCAGGGGCCATGCTAACCTTCTCTGTAGCGTTCCAATTTTAGTGTATGTGTTGCCGAAGCAAACACTCATAAAGGCTATTTTAAGATCTCTGTATTGCACTTCAGCTATGTTGGAATTCTCAGGGCCTCCAGTAGTAGAACAGCTGGGCTCTAATGACTGTTACTGATGGTGTTTTCATGCTGGCGCCTAGGTCCTGGGTTTGAGATGATTGTAATTCTAGGTGCTAATATCTGGTCTTGTCTTTGTTGAGTGGGTATTTTGTTCCTTGGTTTCTGTTGCCCTCTTTGGTTCCTGGGAGAGTATGATGTCTGAGTGCTGTCTGGTATGTAATTCTTCTGAGATCCTGCTAGGTATGGTCACAGGGGAGTCCCAGTTAAATGTGTTTCTAGGTATTAGGAGCTGACACTCAGGAATGGGGCTGGGCTCAGAGGAGTGGGCTGATGGGGGGGTCCACAGGAGAGAGGAAAGTGTGGCATTCCACCAAGATCTACTTAGTCCTCTTGGGATGGGGACAGAGAGCAAGGAGAGGATGCAAAAGGTAGCCTGCTTCAAGGCTGGGGCTGAGACTGGGGGTCTGGGTTTGGAGGCCAAGAAAGAGGGTGAAGATCTAAATCTCTCCTATCTGCTTTTGATGGCCTGCTTGCCTCTCTGGCAGGTTTGGCTGGCAGGTTCCCAGGGAATGCCTGCCTGCTGGAGTTGTGGGCTGGGAGAAAGGGAGGTTCAAGGAAGATCTGTGTGACCCCCTGGAGGCACAGGGAGTGGGGGAGGCCCTAGCAGGTGGAGAGAGAGTGTCCACTCTACAGGTGAAAAAAAGAAAGTGAGATGGTGTTAAATGGCAGCTCAGAGCCCCCTGCTGAGGGTCTAACAGGATGTTTCCGGACCACTATGGTGTCTGAGAGAAGGCTCCTCTGCATTGTCAGCATTGTCAGAGGTGTCGTGATGAGAGAGATGAACCCTAGGATCAGAGGGAAGCATCTAAGTCCCATTCTGTCTGCTCAGGTCAAAAATGGCAAATGGGAACAAGGAAGACAAAACATTTACTTGCTTCCAGGGAATTTAAAAAAAAAAAAAGAGTGCTTTTGACCAGTTATTCCTTCTTTAACTTTGTGGCCCCTGTTTATAGAAACACCCATAATTAATGAGTTTGAAGACAGTATCCATCTTTGGGGATAGTGCCGGATACAGAGGAAGGCAGTGAGCCCACGTGTCTCTGAATCCAGAAAAGAACTAGATGGCTCTCTGGTTCTCAAAAGATACAACTACTTGATGTGGGGGTGGGGGGGTGGATCTTGGAAGTGTGTGTGTGTGTGTGTGTGTGTGTGTGTACCATGACCAAAAGTGTGCAACACACAATAACGTAATGCAAGAACACAACATGTACACATGAAGGCCAAGGGGACACCCTCAGGTGCTATCATCCCATCCATTTGTTTCGTTTTTGAGGCAGGGTCTCTCCCTAGCCTGGAGCTTGCCAAGTAGACTGGCAACCCCAAGGATCTGCCTGCTCTGCCTCCTCAGGGCTTACAAGCACACACTGCCCCAACCAGCTTTTTGCTTTTAAAACCTGGGTTCCGAGAATTTGAACTCAGGACCTGGCGCTTGCACAGTAAGCACTGTACTTACTGGGACATCCGGGCCATCTCTTCACTCTTCTCTCTGAGTCAGGTTTAAGTTCAGACCGTTTTGAAATGCAGGGGACCTCTTTTTTTTTTTTTTTTTTTTTTTTGGTAGCACACCCCTCCGCCCAGTCTCAGCGTCACCCACAGCCTCTTAGTCATGGACCAGCCTTCCAGGTACCTCAGCAAACCACAACCAGGGCCCGTGCCAGGGTCAGAATTCAGACTGCCAGGACCTCATCATTTCCAAGGCAGAGAGCTCCGTAAAGCCAACCTGCTCTGGAAGCAGGCCCTGGGCCGGGCTCTGCATTTGTTTTCCTGTCGGTTTTACGGCTGCTCCTGCTATGTGTAAGGAGAAGCGAGGCCTGGGGATAAACACCACAGCGGGCACAGGAGGTGTTTTCTTACCCCTCTCTAAATCTGCACCCTGCTCCTCCTCACCAGCACTACAATTTCCTCTGGCACTTGAGACAGACATATGTTATTTTCAGTTCCCCGACTTTCTAGCACGCTGTGTCACCGCACACATGGCCCAGGCCCATAGAATATAAATACATGTGGGCGTCTGCATTTCAACCGCTGGACTCGCGCCACGCTTTTCTTTTAATACAACATATCTCGAGTGGATTGTCATCACAGCTGAGCAGCACGGCGGAGTCCCCCAACAAGCAACGGCTTCCAATCCCAGACTTTTCTTACACTCTCAAAGGCTCAGTCAACCGCTTCCGTCCCCACCTCCAAACCAGCAAGCGCTCAAATCACCTACAGATGAAGCAGCCTGTTAGTTACACACACACACACACACACACACACACACACACACACACACACACACACACACACACACACACACACACACACACACACACACACACACACGGAGGTTCGTGAAGGCCCGCTTCCGGACAGGACTCATTACAGCCCCGGGAAAGCCCAAAAGGAGCTTCCGCTTTGCAGATCCTCTGATAGTAAACAGGAGACAATTTGCAAATTCAAACGTGCTGGGCAGGTTGGCACCCTTTCAGCTAGCAGAGGGTTTAGGCTGGGTGCCAAGATGTGGGAAAAGGAGATTTTTTAAAACCCACCCCTTCTGGGCCCTGTCATCTTCGCTCAGTACTGGGGGCTGGCTGGCACTGCAGGGCGGGCGCAGACAGAGCCGGGTGCTGATTTACTCTCGATTTCTGCGAGATGCTTGGGGAGCCCTAGCAAACGATGACAGACAGGAAGCTGAGAACAAAACCCAGCAACTTCCATTTCCTGTGGACTTCCTATGAGCCTTTGCCTTATCTTAAAGGCAGTGCCATGGCTTTCATAAATCATATTCCCTACTGGGCTGGAGAGAGAGTTCAGTTGGTAAAATAGATGCTAACCTAAAAGCAAGTGTTCATGAGCTACAGCCCCACAACCCATGAAGCAGGAGGAGGAGGAGGGAAGGAGGGGGAGGGAAGGAGGGGGAGGAGGAGGAGGAGGAGGAAAGAGGCATAGTTGTACAGTCTTGCCTAGTGCTGAAGAGGCTGAAAAGGTCAGGTATCTGGGGCTCACTGTATAGCCAGCCTAACCTATTTGGTGAGTTACCTGGCAATGAGAGATCCTGTCTCACAAAAAAAGGGGGGGGGAACGGTACCTGAAAACAACACCCAAGATTTCCTCTGCCCCACCTACACAGAAATGCACATGAAAACTGATAACAGAAGCTGTGGGCTAAAACTAATAAAAAGCTTTGCCAAGATCACCCAACACCACCAAGAACCTCCTGGGGGGAAAGCAAGATGGACATTAAAGCCACCTCCTGACCAAAATGTGGGTCCACAGGTGCTGTGTGCATTTCCTACTGGCTTTTGACATTAGCCTCACAATCTCTTGTGATATAAACAGGATTTTATAGGTAGAAGGGTAAAACTCAAAGTGATACCGCTTGCCCAAGGTCATTTGGGTAATAGCCAAGGAAGCATCTGAACCATGGCTTTTAACTCCATAGCCTATTATAGAATACACAAAGACTGTCTCTATAAAGGGCCAGAGTGTTGAAGTCTTAGGCTTCTCTCATCCAGCCTGCCACTCTTACAACTATAAAACTCTGCAATTCGGGCTGGAGAGATAGCTCAGCCGTTAAAGGCTAGGCTCACAACCAAAAAAAAAAAAAACTGCAATTCAAAAGCCGCTGGTAAATTATATATACATGTTGTGTCTGTGTGTGTGTGTGTGTATATGTGTGTGTAGGTATATGCGTATTTGTATGTATGTATATGTGTGTGTAGTGTGTAGTGTGTGTGTGTGTGTGTGTGTGTGTGTGTGTGTGTGTGTGTGTGTGTGTACTGGATTGGGGAAAGTAGGAGCATTGCTAAGCCATTCAGAGACACCCATGCTAGCTTCAGTGGTCAGAGTCTCTCTTTAGCCTCCGTCTCTGGCACCCTAACTTAGGGGGGAGATCACACAGTGGCCAGACCCATTGTGCAATACTATTCAACCTTTTAGATGAAAACATCCAGACATAAGCTACACGGATGAACCTTGAAGGACTTTATGTTGAATGAATACGCCTGACAGGTTCTCTGATTCTACGCCCATCATGAGACTAGGTGAAGAAAATTACAGACATAATGGAAACTGATGTGTGGAATTTCTCCTTGGGAAGATGAGATAATCACGCTGGTGGTTATGCAGATGTGAACAGATCTAACGTCACTCCATTGTATATTTAAGAATGGCCTGAATAGTGACATTGTGTACATTTTAATGCACACATCGAAACAACAAAAGCTAACTTCCAAAGCTGCCTACGAGGCTCGATTCTATGCACTGGAAACACAGGTACATCAGAAGGCAGGGTTACAGGGTCCACGGAACCTGGCCCACCTGCCCATCACCATGCATGCTGGATGGCCTCTCTCAGAGCTAAGTTCTCCTCTAGGGTCAGGCTGCCCCAGCAATTGGGCAGTCTTTGGTTAATCTCATCTGGGAGAACTGAGGGTAAGAACTGAACAGAATCGGGAAGGTAGGACACCCCACCACCCTGTCTTGTGCGGAAACAATGAAGGGATCTCATTGACTACTTGCTGTTTGCTAGATAACTGCCTTTGAGCTGCACTCCGTTGGGCGCATACAACGGGAACAAGGAGACCCACCGCACACCCATGTGTCACATGGGAACTCAGGGGTCTTTGTCGGACAAGGACAGAGAGACCCTGTGATAGCCAAGGTCTGCATGCCTCTGAGCTAATGATGCTAAAAGCCTGAAGATAAGACTGGACTTTTTACACAGATCATAAAGATTCTTTTCACAAACTAGCACTCCTGAAGGAGATACAGGACCCTACCTCAAAATCATTCCTCAGAGTGACCAGGAGCAGAGAGAGACCCAGCCGTGAACCACCACGCTGCAATTAGGGAGGGGGATGATAGAACCCGATAATCTACCATGCCCAGAAGCCACATAGCCCCAGAACTGC